GATTGGTTTAGCTCACTCGGGACCCAGTCAGAGATCCCATAACCATATTTGGCTGCTATCACCCTTCTCCACAAACCACCTTGATTCTCCCCAAATCTCCAAAGCCACTTCCCCAGTAAAGCAGAAATGAGATCCTTTATTCTTCTCACACCCAGGCCCCCCTGAGATTTGGGTTTGCAAATCTTGGACCAGCATGAGTGTTTTTCTTCTCATCCCTCCATCCTTTCCACAGAAACTCCCACATCTTTCTCTCCAAAGACTTAGCCACCCCACTAGGAATTGGATATAAAGAGAGCAAATACAAGGGGAGGGAAGATAGAACACTTTTCAGCAGAGTTAATTTACCTCCATAAGATAAGTACTTGGACTTCCAAGAAGCCAAACACTTGTCTAATCTCTCCACAATGGGCTCCCATATTGATTTGGAGTTGCACCTAGCGCCTAGAGGCATCCCCAGATATTTCAAAGGAAGTTTACCTCTTTTACATCCCCACTCCTCCGCCCACCTCTCTATTTCTGGTACATCTTCCACTGCAACCAGTTTAGTTTTATGCCTGTTTACATGGAGGCCCGACACAACCTCAAACCACTGCAGCACTGCCATTACATAACCATGCTGATCAATTGAAGCATCACAGAATATGAGTGTCATCTGCAAACTGCAACAAAGAAACCTCTACCCTCTCAACTCCCACCTGAAAACCATCTATGAAACCCCCTGCCGTGGCCCTTTTCATCATTCTGCTTAGAGCTTCAGTCACACATAAAAATGAAGGGGGAAAGGGGATCCCCTTGCCTTCAGCCCCTAGAACTCCTAAAGCGACTACAGGAAACCCCATTTACCAGGACTGAGAACGAGGGAGTAGACATGTGTGCTTTCATCCAATTCCACCATTTAGAACCAAAATTCATTCTTCTTAGGATGTAATCTAGGAATTGCCAGTTGGCATGATCATAAGCCTTCTCAAAATCGATTTTACAGAGCAGCCCAGCCCTCCTACTTCTCAGTCTTGTATCTATCAATCTCAATTGCCACTAACACTCCATCTACCATGAGTCTACCCTCCACAAAAGCACCTTGAGTTTCTGAGATTAGGGTCCCCATCACTAGTTTGAGCCTCTTAGACAGAACCTTGGAAATTAATTTGTATATACACCAAACCAAACTAATTGGTCTGAAGTCTCCCACTTCCTTGGCCCTTTTTCTTTGGAACTAGTTATAAAGGTGGAATTTAAACTCCTTTCCAAAGCTGCTGAGTCGTGGAATTCTTTCAACACCCTTAAAACATCATTCTTTAGAAAATCGCAACAGTGTTTGTAGGATGCCATGGTAAACCCATCCGGACCCGTAGCCTTATCTCCTTCCATCTCTTTTAAAGCCTCCCAAATCTCCCTTTCTTCAAACTCTCTCTCCAGATCTGCAGCTTGCTCCTCCGAGAGGCCATCAAACTCCAGGCCATCAAGTTTTGGCTTGTTAACCCACTCTTGTAAAGGTTCTCATAGAACTCCACAATATGGCTTTTCATTCTGTCTACTTCCTCCACCAACACCATTCACAACCAACCTTTTCAGCATATTTTCCCTTCTCCTAGCACTAGCAAATTTGTGAAAAAACTTTGTGTTGTTATCACCCTTTTGTAATCAGAAACATTTCAAACACTGCCTCCATTTTGTCTCCTCTTGATAGGCTGTTCTGTCGAAATCCAGCTTGGCTCCTTGTCTTTTCCTTTTTTCTTCCTGAGTTAACTGCCTCTCCTCTTCAGCTCTGTCGATTTCGAATATTGTATCTAAACAACTTTTCAGTTTCTGTTCCACCCCTTTTGAAAGAGTCCTTCCAGATTTTAATTTGCTCCTTTAAGGCCTTCCACTTCTTGCCAAACACATGACTAGCTGTTCCTTCCACAGAAACACCTTCCCACCAACTTCTCAGCTGCTCCACAAAACCTTCCTCTTCAAGCCACAAGTTTTCRAATCTGAAAAGCACAGGCTTGAATTGAATGCCACCGCAATCCAGGCAAATGGGGAATATGATCCGATAAAGGTCTAGGAAGGGCCTCTTGGGACAGATTAGGGAACTTCTCCCATTCAGTAGATACCACAAAGCGGTCTAACTTCACAAGGGTAGCATCCTCCTGATTGTTTGTCCACGTGAATTTGGCTCCAATCAAAGGAAGATCCACTAACTCCCATCTCTCCATAAAACTGGCAGAACCCCTCATGCCTCACCTGGACCTCACTTCCCCTTTTTTCTCATGCTCAAAACAAGTAGTGTTAAAATCCCTCCTACCACCCAAGGCATATTCCACTCTTCTCTTACTTCATCAAGTTCATGCCAGAAAAAATCCCTCAAGGAGTTCACATTTGGACCATATACTGCAGTTAAAACAAAATCCCAACCATCTTCGAGCAACTGGAACCAAATTGAAATAGAAAAAAGGCCCACCTTCCTACCCTTCACTTCTACCACATTTGAATCCCAGATGACTACTATACCACCTGCAGTCCCCACTGCTGGCAAAGCTTCCCAATCACAATCACATTCCCCCCAAACACTTCTTATTTTCTGGGCATCCAAAGTCTCCATTTTGGTTTCTTGGAGACAAAGGATGTCTGCCTTCCACTTGCTTGTATGTGCCCCTGCCACCACCATTCTCCTGCCTGAGTTCAGACGTCTTGATATTCCCAGAGACGATCTTCATTTGAAAGAAGAGATAGATTGGTTTGGTGGTCCATTCCCATCTCCCTGCATGAATTATTTTATTGTTTCTCTGACTCTCCATGAATTCTATCTCCCTGCATGTAACACTGATGTTAGACCATAATGTAACTGCAGGAACTCTCATAACACGAAATTTCCCTGATTTATTCTTCAAAGAATGCCGAACCTGGTAATCTGTCAAATAATGTAGAAATCACTATGCCACCGTATTCATATGCACTTCCATTTGATCTTGCTCTTTTTTATTTCTCGAAGTTATTTTAGTTTAAAGTTATTGGCAGATTATCCTCGTTTGCTTGCTTATTGCATCTTTTTTTTCTGCATGCACAGTGAATGTGGTGTATCAGAAGTAGCATTTACCATGCTTATTGCTGATWGTTCCATCCAGAAAACCCACTACGACATACTGTCAGTGAAGGAAGATGCTAGTTATGAAGAGATCCGTGCAAGCTACAGGTCTGCTATCCTAAGTGCCCATCCAGATAAATTGCGAAGGATATCTGAGATATCTGATCCTGACCATGAGTCACAAGAAAGATTTCTAAATATACAGAAGGCTTGGGAAGTCCTTAGCAATTCAAAGTCCCGTGCAGCTTATGATTGTGAGCTACGGGCTTCAAGACGGGATGTGATAACTGCAGAAGATGTCAGGTTGGACAAAATGATTGTGGAAGATGTTGGCGAAGTTTTAGAGCTCTTTCACCAATGCAGGTGTGGTGATTATTTCTCAGTTGATTCTTCAGAGCTAAGGGAGATGGGATATTCATTGGAGAAGAATGAAAATAAGATACTATTACGGACCCCAGATGGGATCCGGTCATCCATTATACTTCCTTGTGGGTCTTGTTCTCTGAAAATCCGCCTGATAATTGATGCAGATTTGAGTTTTTCCAATTGATTATTATCTGTTTCGTTGTTCTGGTTACTTCAACTTGATGGATCTATAAATAACCAATTGGGATCATTTTTTAGTCTCCATTCATATCTATATCTATCTATTTTCCTTTTAAAAGCATGAATATATCTTTGAAATTCTTGACTTTTGTGACCAAAATACCCCTATTCGTTAATTTATTATGCATTCGAGTTGGTTACTTGGTTATGTATTTATTATGCATTACAATTTACAAGTGATAAATAATATGAAAAGTGCTTTTAATGTTTTTACTTCTTTTTGTGACTATACTCAATTGGCCTAGGTTGCATTGAAGGAAGCCGGCTTGTTTCTTAATAGATCTCAAGATTTGTATTATCAAAAAGAAGACAGATCTCAAGATTTAAGTGGTATCATTTTCTTTTTCGCTCAAAATGACTGAATTTTCATCTTTTTAAAATATACTTTATAACAATACCTGTTGTTAGGGGTGGACATGAATTGAGCTTTTTATGAGTTGTCCTAATTTGAATTGTGAAAAGCTTGATTCAGTTGGACTTAAATCGAATTGAGTCAAACTTATCCTAATATGTAGGCTTGTTTGCAGATTGAGTTGGTCTCGAACCTAATCAAACCTAGTTTAAACATACGAGCTTTTAAGTTGAGCCGAATTCTAGCTCATACCTCTAGTTCAAATAGAGTTGAGCCTGATGCTTTTCTATTGATTTCGAACATACGGGCTTTTGAGTCAAATTGAATTTGAGTTCATATTTCTTAACTCAAATTGAACTTGAGATTGATGCTTTTTTTTATTGAACTGAACTCAAATAGAGAAATATTTAGCTTGACTCGACTTGAATCAACCTCTACCTGTTGGCTTCTCAAACTTCTATTTACAGTGATTCAAGTGATATTAGGAATAAGTCTTCCATAAGGCTTATTGCCTTTTTCACTTTTTTATGTTTCAGCACTTGAATTGGCTTACCAAAGTTTGTAAAACAGGGGCCAAACCTGAAACAGTATCTCTGCTATATATCAAGCATGAGAATGTAATTTGAAGTCTGAGAGCGCCCACTTTACTAGCGTAGACTCGTAGTGATGAATGGATGGTTGAAACTGGGTAATGCCCATTTAGCCTGTTCAATGGGATTTGATCCCAAACATAGCTAGCTACAACCAAGGTTCATAATGTCATTAACTAAAATTAATCGAACTTACCAACTAAGCCACATCAATTGGTGAAATCTGGAAAAGCGCAAGACCAAATTAATTTAATAATCTTGGCTGCCAGTTTCTGATTTTCTATATAATCGTATCTAGGTCAGGTCAGTATCCTGTGGTGCGTACCATCCTTAAAAGTGGTCAACTTACCTCACATGTCAAAGTATACACATACGGGGAAGATGGTGACGTACCAACAGCTCAAGTTCAAAGGGTGTTGTGTTTTCTGATCTCTATTGGGGAACAGGAACTCGTCGATGGAGAAACATTTCTAGAAATTCCAAGGGGAGATCACAATTTGGTGTAATGTCATCAGTTAACTTTAGCTTAAAGTGAATTAATACAGAAAACTATAAAACTGCCATACTGCCATCAGTTTGTTGTAATTTATGCATCAGTGATGGAAACGTTTGAAAATTCGAGGAATTAAGGTTTCGTGTAATTTCCCGTAACCGTCAGATCAACATTACATCTCAAAAGTGATGAGACACTAAATGCTCTTTTTCATATTTTTAACTACAATACTACTGCTTTTTTTAACGTAAATTTCTCCTAATCTTCTGACGACGTTAGCTTTACCCCAAAGGTCAGGAACCCAAGGTTTCAGATAAATACATCCCTCAACCACTTGACTCGTACATAGCATAAATCAAAGATTAGAAACCCACGATTTCTTTTCTGACATTAATCTTGTCTCTAAAACACCATGATTTTTTTAGCTCATGAAGAGTCTAAGAACACGTCCAAAAGATGCAGATTCATAGCTTCAGCCTTGAAGGATGCACTTTCTCATTGCCACACCCTCCATGGAAGGTCGTCTTCTTCGAGCCTGGAGGAGGAGGAGGATGAGTATCCATCCGGCGACATTGATGAGGAGCAAGAAGTATATATAGTTTGATAGTTTGATGAATTAATTCCAGTCTTTTTGTTGGGTTTCGCGAACTCGATCGAAATCTCTTCTTATCAATTCTCATTTGCGTTGGCGTTATATATATATATATATATATATATATATATATATATATATTTTCTCAGGTAATAGTTCTGGAAATTCGTAGTCGGGCTATGGAGGCAAAGATGAAGCGCAAGGGTCGTCGGATGACAGAGAGTCTCTGTTGGGCCGTCTCTTCTTCGACTGGAGAATTGTTCATGGCTCCATACCCAAAGGACATGCAACATGTAGAAGATGATAACAAAGTTGARGACAATGACGAGATGGAAACCTTTTTTTCTGCGGAGAGTTGCTTCTCCCGCTGTTCGAGTGCAAGCAGAGAAGTCCTCTTCTCTGCCGGCAGTTGCTTCTCGCGTTGTTCAAGCATGATGAGCAAGGTTGATTTCGGTGAAGCCCGGAGGCGTTCAATAATTCAGGAATTCTGCCATTGTGAAGGGTGGCCGTTTGGTCTATGCAGAAAGGCTGTGTTGCTTCCACCTCTTCCCAGATCTCCTTCGGAATCATGGTCGTGGCATAAAGGCAATCGGATTGTGATTGTGAAGACACATTAATACTACGGCTCCGGTGATTATTATTCTTGTTTCCTCTCCCACCTCGGCTGTTTTCCGTTTTCAAAGAAACTCGTCAGATAAATAAGTGATTCACATATTGATATAAAGACATCCTTATCACTCATGCAAATTAATTAAATAGAGATTCAACCAGAATTGATGAAACGTGTAATGAAGAGAAGAAAATGATGGTCGATCTTTTTTTTTTTTTATTTCGTCCAAATTAAAATGCACGATACTGTCTTTGAATATAATTTCTCATCCATCACCATTGTTCTGGTTGACTGCAACGGGAGGTGGAGGTGATAGATGTGAGACGCTACAAAATGCAGGCATTTTTCCAAGAATTAAGAGATAATTAAATGGAAGTCAATATCATCATCGTAAAAATTACTAAATACCGATTTTTTTTTTGTGTGTGTGTGCGTATGAAACAAAACCCCATTGAATTAGGAACAATAAAACAGAAAGAGAGAGAACACAGAAAACTAAAAACCAAGAAAACAAAAGAAACGACCCCCTCACTGCACTTGGTTCTATGATTCTATACCAACTATGCTGGATATTATTAGAAAACCAATCAGAAACTGGAAAGGGAACCGACCAGATATGACAGTGTGACACCACACTATCCCTAAAACCACACTGGGTAACTCGTGGACCTCGAATCTCAGCCCAAATCGCGGGCCACCGTTTAAACGGTAATTAAAGGACAACACCTTGATTGGGGTATTGATCAGGCACAGAATACGAGAATCTCAGACCAACCGGCCCACCAAGTTAGGATGGGGTGGGTGGGCCAGGATGGCCATTGCCATATCCAGCTCAAGTTGGTCTAACCCCTTATTCTTAATCTGGAACCGGAAGAGAGTTGAGATTCCGGATCTCTGGTACTCAACGACTAAGCACATTTTACTGCACTCCTTATAAACTGAAAAAGAGCGATATACATCAGCATCGCTCAAGAGAGTGAGATGCCAGGACAAAGGAAAGATGCAACTCTGTTGCTTATTTGTAAAACAAGTGGTTTTACTCTTCAAGCGTATTGTGATTCTGGTTGGGCGAGTTGTATACTTGTTCACTGTTGAACCACAGGTTACATTAGTTGCCCTCTTTCCATTGTCCTGACAAACAAAGAAACAACACATGGTTTCTTTGTCTTCTACTACTGAAGCCGAATACTATGATGCCATGGCTGATACATCAGAGCTCCTTTGGCTCAAACGTGTGCTTGTGAAGTATCAATTATTGCCACCAACCCCGTGTTTCAGGATTGCACCAAAATACATTAACATTGATTGCCATTTTATTCTTGAACACATTCAACAATGAGAGATTCAGATTGTAAGCTTCAGCCAGCAATCTCCTTTACCATGGCTGTCAATGTTGAACATTTTACTTCTCTTATTGGCAAATTGGGCAGTGTGAATCCACATGATGCTAGAGACGGAAATTCGATTCCCACTACCAACTTTACTTTGAAGGGGAGGGGGGTTATAAGCAACGTTCAAAAAATCGTTACATATCGACCCATATCGGCCAATACATATCGTATCAGGCCCTTCCCAATACAACCCCTACAGGGGTTGTATCGGGTCAGGGCCTGGTTCAGAGGATAGCCAGGACTTAAACTGGCCCCTCTGAATCAAAATCGAAAAAAATAAGTAGAAGTTAAAACAAAAGGCCAATACCGGCCGATATGACTTACCAGCATATCGACCAGTATCGATACTTTGAACCCTGGTAATAATAGCCCCTGTGAGGGATTCGGACATATCACCAAATATCGGCAGAGATTATTTCTTAAATATTTCATTATGGACACCAGTCTTCAATGGCTATGGCAATAATAGCACCATTACACCATGAGAAAAGAATGCGTAGAGTGAACCATGAAGATGACTGCTGTGGGTTTACAGAACTTTCTTTACTTGAAAGAAATTAGAACGTTCCTCGTTAGCTGCAGCAACATCATCCGGGGACGCCACAGCCACCACAACACCCTTGTCTTTAACCGCTTCTATTGCATCTGCGAATTCCTTGAAATCCTTCAATCTGGAATAAAGGGCGTGTTTGTCAAGTACCCACGTCTTTCACCATGCAGGAAATATAGATTAGCATATGACACTAACATAGGCATTTAGGCAAGACTATGGATCCATGTATGCACCATGCAGGAAATATCAAAAGCCCCCATTAACATTGAGGCCTTTTGTGCAAATTTTGATGAAAATGTCTAACAAAAGCTTACCAACTAAAAATAAAATGTCTATTACAAGGCTTTATGCCAGCAAGACAAACGAATCTAGCTGTGATTAATTGCTTTATTTGGTATCCAATTGACAAAAATTTGTTTGAACCAATTCTGAATGCAGAATGACCACGGGGAGCGGTTTCATTAGTGCTGGTCTGCTGGACAGATACCAATTCTGAATGCTAGACGAGTACAAAGGACCATCTAGGATCTTGCCACCCAAAGCATGTCTTGGGCTTGGTGCTTTCATGATTCTAATCCCAAGACACGTGGCATCTGGTGGTATATTTACCACATACTTCAACTCGTGCATAAAGTCAAGCCAGAAAACCAGAGAAGACGAGTCCTTACCTGGTTGATAGGATCTCTTCTCGTCTTTTTTGTCTTTCATCTTCTGCGACTCCCAGCAAATACCGTAGTAAACTGAGAATACAACATAACACCATTAGTAACTTAAGGTATACCCATCTAAGACAAAGCATGTACAAGGCCTAATCATGATGAAATATTCTAGAAGGAAAAATGCAGGAAAGAAGAAAAAATAAACCATTTTGATATGGATTCAGAGGGGGTCGAACTCATACAGCTGTGATACATGTACAGCTTTGGGATGGGTTCAGTTATTTGATTATATATCATACATTTTCATGCCTATTTCATAATAATAATACAATTTATTCTGATCATTACTGTTCTGCAAGGGGGAAAGGGAAATTCGTAATTTCATACCAAAAATGCCCTGAAATTCATGAAGGAATATAGCTATTAATTATAACTTGCTGCTACTCCTTACTAGCTCTCCCAAAGTATATGGTACACTTTTTTCTTTTTCTTTTTTTTTTTTTTTTGATAAACAAGTATATGGTACACACTTGAACATACAGTGTACTCACCTCTTGCTAACATATAGGTCACACAGGGAAGTAGATGTCTGGGGGCATTGCTTGGTTTGGTGTAATTGTAAAACCTCAAGCAGGCAAGCCTGATATTGCAGGTTCTAGTCTGAGGGAAGCCACTTTGTGCAAAAAATGCCAAATGTCAGAACTGTACCCAGTCTACACCTCCCAAGACCTCAGAGAGTTGGGCCAACATTGGGTAATGGTCTTTAGGGGGAACTAGATGTCTCCATCTCCATATGGAGAACAAGGCTGGCGGTTTGTGACAAAGATACATTGGTGAAAATAAACTTTAAGTCAGATATAATAATAAAAAAAAGAACTTTAAGTCGGATACGGTCTTTCGCCTCATCCATTTCTGATATATCATCATGTGTCAAACCCATGTTGAGATGTGCCAAAGATGTACCAAGGTTGACTCATGTTGAGATATGGGCCTCTCATAGAGGAGTGTCACAGGAATTACAGATAAGGGGAATAAAAACCTTTTTTATTTTCTTTTCTTTATAATCTCTCCATGGTTGGCTTTTTTTATGAGCACTCCATGGTTGACTACTTATTAACTATTCTAAGCTCCAACTATCATCTTGCAGTCCAAAGGTTATGAATTATAAGTTAATTACAGAGAAAGCAACTAAACAATAAATACCAGTTTTGAATTGTGAAGATTTAGTCCTTGAGTATTTGTCTTAAGCATAAAGAAAGACGAGTAACATCACCACAAAAAGCAACGGTTTGAAGCATATGTTTTGATTATAGGGATTTGTTACTTGCCTGCTATAACCTTTTGCATCAGGTAGTTGGTAGGAATCCACATCTCCAATGGTTCCAATAATTGCCTTTGTAAGGGCGTCATCATCCATCTCCAATTCACGTAGGAAGTTGGCAGTTCCATCATACACCTCAACAGTCTTCAGTAAATTCGGATCACGATAGGACAAGTATGTAAATACTCCTAAAACAAGACACCCAATGAAGAGAAAGAGCAGCATAAATTATTATCTTCAACTAAGATCAATAAAGGTGGCTTTCATAAGCAAGATCAAATGAGGTTTCACCTGAGTGAGTATCAAACTCACAAAAACCTCCATAGGCACCACCACTAACTCGTACGCGGTCCCACAACCATGTATTACTAATATATTTGGAAATGACATAAGCACTTCCATTGAGCTGATACCCTGTATCATATATATTAGCAGCTTTCCCAACGTAGTTAACCTGCAGGAGTAAAGAGTAAAATAAATTAAGTTTAAACCATAGGAAAAAAAAGAACAATTCCAACCAGCAAATTCAAGTATATTTTCTCACCTGGGTGGGAATAACAACTGCTTCATTTACAAAAGAAAGCCGGTCATTCCAAGAAAGTTTTTCACCAGGTGGGGTGTTTGGAAGCAGATCAAGGAATTTGCTTACAAATTTCTCCGTATTTGTGAGATTTTTTGCATCTGCAGTCATATTTATCAAGCAACTCTGCCTTGAAAGTAAAGATTTGCGTATCTCCTCAAGAGAAGAAGAGATTTCAGCCCAATCCTGATCAACTTTCTCTTCTAGAGTTTGGAGAAACTCCAAGTAGCTGTGAACATAGTAAAGGAGAGAACAATGTCAACCCCATTAAAGATGTGCACTATCAGTGCGGATAAACATGCATATAAAAGTTAAAATTTGTACAMTCATTACAAGTAGGAGTTCAACTATTATTACTTCAAATGCAAATAAACCATTTAAGTAGGGATGCTTGGGTTAGGTTGGGTCAAGAAATTGTTAAGTTCTGAAATCTGAATGGGCCAAGCTCGAATCAGATGTAGTTGAAATGCTTCAAAATCAGGCAACCCACTCTTAACCATACATTTTTTCATGCATGTTATACAGCTTTCCCCCCATAGTAGAAAGGTCCCAGTAAACCTACATCCATCCAAGTTTGAAAAAATGTTTCTCAATTAAATATCATTTATGTCACCTTGCCTTCACTAATAGTTTATCTGCATCAACTCCTAGAAATCTTTTGTGGGGAAAGAGTCATGAGATCATATTTTAGCATGCACAGGAAGACTAGCGTAAACAAGAAATTTGAAATAATCCAAACAACCCAACCTGATGCCACCCATTTGCTCAGCAATCCATCCTGCAACGTTTAACTTGGCATCCATCCTTGCAGCAGCAATTCCATGACCACTGCCTCTTAGTCGGTTCTGGAAATAGACATCAAGTATAGAAAATAATCAGATGAAATAGTAAACTCTTCTAATCTAACATAATTCAATAGTTACCTCCATTCTTGATTTGCTTTGCGAAACAAATTGCTTAAAACGTTGTTGGTCAGTGAACTGGACATCTTGAAGGATGCAATTAAACTGCAACAGCAAGCATCATGTCAACACTGTACACAATGAACTACCAATTTAAGGACAATAAGGGGAGGACAAAGGAAAGAAAAAAAGACAACAGCACCTAATAAAAGCTCAAGAAAGTATATGTACCAAGTAAGAGATTAAACATCTGGAAACCCCTTGAAAGCAATAGAAAAAGAATTACAACTTTTTTCAACAAGAAACCCATTGTAGAGCACATTCCATGGTTTGTAATTTTGATATTAATGGTTGTTTCCCTGCACGTTCTCAATGTGAAGGTTCAGACTGATTTCTAGAAGAGGACCAACCCTTGTGTGATGTCCATGCAGCCTTTTACTCTATAGAATCTAAGAGAAATACCACAGTTCAGGAATACTATGGGAAGGTGGGGGGTAAAGTGATGTAGAACCCTTGCCTCAGAAAGCATGTAGCAATTTTGAAGTAGATTGTTAGTCCAGCAACTGAAAACGCTCAATCACATCAATTTGGAAATGCGAAGAATTAAATGGTCTGGAAAGCTTATAGGAATGGCAACTTCACAATAAAAACTTTCTATGAATCCTAAATCAGACCAGCCCAGGATTCGATCCTATGGAAGAGGAAACAGAAAGTACAAGTTCCCTCAAAGGTCTCTTTCTTTTTGTGGATTGCACATCTTGATAAAATCCTCACAATCAACCACTTAATCTTACAAGGAAGAAACTTGGAGAATAGATTTTTTTTTCTCTGCAATTTAGAAGATGAACCATTCTAACATTTACTCGTGTATTTCCCTTACAACATCTAGGTCCATTTTCTTGGGTTGTTCCAGAGAAGTTGACCAACACCTAAAGACATTCCAATGCTAATATCCTGTCATGGCTGGTGAAAGGCCATTTGCCCTAGGGGAAAAATATTTTGGAATCTATTCCCTTTTGCAAGACACTGGCTGGTGTACAAGGAGAGACTCATGCAACTTTAAAATGAAAAACTCAGATCAAAATATGGAGAAGCATTGTAAGACTAATGACCAGTTCTCATCCTTGAACATTTTGAAGGCCCTTCTCCTAATCATTCCTCCGACCATTGGGTGGACATACTTTTGACTCTTATTTTGATGTATAAAGTGCTTATGTACAAGGGAATACCCACTTGTCAATAAGCATAAATGGCTTACTTCTTATTGACTGTGCAAAGTTTCCTTGTGGAGACAGCCCTTTGATGTATACAAAGTTAAAATAGTGAAATACCAAAATGCATCGCTGTGTATCAGTCGATACATATCAGTTTTTGGACCYACCAATATGCTATTTTTTGAGAGTTTAACCCCTTTAATGTCTGGAAATATTAATATTCAGGTTAATATTATTATCTGTAAAGTAACAAAGTGAAACAAATAGTAACTTTATGTTGTTTCTGTATTAATGAGTGAGGCTGCACCTCACGCCTCATACTGGGATGCTTGTAACAGACTCTTTATCTTTTGCTTCTAATGAAACCTAATGAATTTTTATACAAAGTGGAACAAATAAAAAAATAACAGTATCATWGCTGAAAGTATGGATATGCATTTTTGCATATCCAGTGTATCCATGCTTTGAACCATGGGTATTAGATATATATTAATGCATTTTATACTACTAACCAAAGAAAAAAGGACAAAAGCAAGATCAAGGTTTCGAAGTTAAGAATATAGGAAACATCATAATGATCATATCAGACAACTTAATATTTTACAAGTAAATCAGGTATCCGTATACATATCAATACATGGTGAAAGGTAGATTGCATCTTCTGAAGTGATTTTTGCAGAATATAACACTCAAAGTATATGCCAAAAAAAAAAAAAACAAATACCATAAGTGGAGAAAAGTACTAAATGCAGTCAGACACCCTGAAAGGATATGAATAACTAGAAGCATAAAAGCATTACCAGATTAAATAGGTCTTCAGCACGCCCTGCCATGGCTTTGCCTCGAACAATTATATGACTACATGGATCCTCCTTGCCCCGTAAAGACGATGAGAAAGGATAAACTGATATTCCTCCAGTCTTTCTTCCAATTAACTGATTAAGTTGGACAAAATCCAAGTCTTTTGTTCCCATCTCCAGCAATGACTGACTGTCAAGAAACTCATCTAGGCATAAGTTCTTCATAGGATAATATTCTTAAATTTTGAACCACTATTGCATCCAGATACAAAGACTCACAAAATAAGCCCTTTATACCTATATGCAGCAAAGTTTTTTTTTTTGATAAATGAATAAGCATTTTATTAATCCAGTAAATAAGAGTTACAGGCAACCGAGGAGAGGCATGAGATGCGACCTCTCCTTTAAGATTGATCACAACATTACAAAACTATATCCAGCAAAGATTGAAGAGTGAGAAACATAGATTTTGTATGGGGTTAAGAAAGAAACCAAACCTCAGTGCATTAATGAAGCTCCAATAGCATAATTTTGCCAAAGTTTGCAATAGAAATACATACACAAGTAGCAAGGCAAGAATAATAACCATATGACTCTGAGATAAATTGTTGCTTACCAGAATAGTGGTACCAACTGAAGTAGGTCTTGCTTCAGTGAATTCATATTGAAGACAATTTCTGTATAAAGGACATCATTTGTGAAAAGGTCATGCTTTAAAACTTTTACCCCGTCTATCTCCCCTTCCTACAGGAAGACAAATATTCCATTGTTAAAATTCCCCAATACAGGTAAGAACATGGYACTCCAAATAAAGTATAGATGGAAAGGGTTTTGACTACCTCTGTAGGTACATGTATAGGTTTCTTTGGAATGTCATGTAAAGAGAGGCTTGGTACAGTTTTTAGAGCTTCTGGCGGGTCTGGAGTTTCCTGCTTCAGTCGGAGTTCTTGTGTAGCACGTGCAAGTTCAGCAAGATCTTCTTCTGTCATATTTGCTTTGACTTTCTCCAGGATTTCTCTCTCAGCTGCCTCATCACGTGAAGCCTTCTCTGGATCAGGCTGAGATGGAAACAGTCTTTGTTAGAGTATGGATTGACAATATAACCATGGGCATAAGCTTACAAGGTCCCCCAAAAAATAAATAAAAGATCAGTATTCACCTGCATTTCAATTGCAACACAGTGAGGGTTGTTCAAGATATATTTCTGTATTAATGGAGAGAAAACAGCTTTCGATCCTTCCTTAGCTATTCTATCTTTTAAAGATTTTAGGGGCTCCTCATACTTTAAAGGTTCAAACGGATCCATATCATAAATCCATTTTCCCTGCATAAATATAAAAATGAATTAATAATTTAAAGTCTGGAAGAACTAAGATGAAGTATTCACCACTTTGATCAATTAAGAGGATTTGAAGTCCCTACAATGGAACGAAGCATCAAGGACAAGCCTCGAGGGAATGACCCAGTGTTATTCTCCCTCAAAGAGAATTCAATTGTATTCATGGATGCCTCTACAGCTTCTGAATCAAATCCTTCCTCTGCCAACTTTGTTAGAGTACTCATAATCAATTCTTCTACCTTTTGAACATCATCTTCAGAAACACCTTTCAACCCAATGCTAAATTGAGGCTGGAGGAGTTCATCTTCAACTCCGCCACCAACAATAGCATCTCCTAATCTGCTTTCCAGTAGGATTCTTCTCAAAGGAGAAGCAGGAGTTCCCAACATAAGATGATCCAGAAACCCAAGAGTAAGTTCAGTTTGCAAGTCCAAAGGCTTATCAGATAGCAGCCAGTTTAGGCACACCATGTGTTTCTTCTTCAAATCACCACCCTCACCTGCAGGATATTTCTCTACAATCTTCACTGGTTCTGAGAATAGTTTTTGTGCATCAACCTTTGATTCAAGGGAGGCTGGGTTTGCATCAAACAGATCTAGGTATTCTGTACATCAAGAAAAAATGAATAAATAGCCAACAAACACTTACTAGATCCAGAATAAATATAATCAACTGATATCTAAACTTGGTATACCATTTCGTAAAAAACAACCTTAACAAAATAAGAGACAATAAAGACAAAGTGTGATCTGCTTTATTAAATCAAAACCATCAAATATCTACATCAACCAAGAAAATAACTAGTTATGGGAACCAAGCCTCAAGAGGACCATTTTTTTGTTTGTAAAAGGAAATTTTAATAAAAGTAAAAAAACGAGGTTACAACTCATAGGTTGTAACACCATCAAGAAACAACAGAAATTCAAAACAAAAGAAAAACAACATCAAAATCAGTGACTCTCCCAATAACCAGTCGGTTCAACCATAGGACATCATTACTTCATCTACTATCTATTTAAGTTGAAATAAAAGCAAGTTGAGTTATTGTATCTGTTATTAATAACATCATTCCTTTTTAGGCCATAAAGTTACTTTACATAATGATAAATAAGATGCAAACTTTTTAGTTAAACACCAATTGTATAATTTCAATTTGTTGCATATGTTTTTTCAACAGTTTTTCCYCATTTTTACTAGTTGCATCCATTATCTTTTATTTTCATTGCTACTTATATTGAAAGACTAGGCTATAAACTCTACTGCATCAAAACCCTCACAATCCTAAAAATACTCCTTTTGTTTTCACTGGGACAAAACCACAAATAAACAAATCATGGTTTACGACATATAAATTATGTCCATTACAATTATAGTGGAGCAGATCCAGTGGACACATGACACTGATAATTCTTAAAAGTTATATGGTATAAACTCAATATATCATTATTAATCAAAAAATAAATAAACTCAATACATCATTAATGGCTAAAGGAATCTAAGAAAAATGCATGTGTCCCTGTTGAACACTGGTGTAACCACACAAAAGTTGACATGGCCAGCATTCCTTTATAGACTAATTATCATATAAATAATAACTTGAAAAAATGGAAGCATGTTGAAGTTTTAAGATACATAGCTAAGATCTCAAGGGAAAATGAATAAGAAAATTTTGGTAGATGTGCAAATAACAACTACCAACTTGATAACAACAAAAACCAGAAATTTATCTAACAGTTACTATTGTAGTTGTTGTTATTGTTGGGTAAGTAGAATATCATTACTGTGTTAGAGGAGGGGAAAACAAAAATATATGATATTAAAAAGCATGACCACATAGCCTTGCTCAATGTTCTCTTATCAATAACTAAACAATGTATTATATTTTATTGACTTAAAAAGAATGGATTGCAATCTAGAATTATACCAAGTACCCTTTCACTATTAGGCTATCCTCCGCTACCTAACCATTTTTTTAATACCAGCTGCACCTTGTTTACAATTTACAAACTACGTTCCTGGTGGACCAGCCCACCACAACCACCAAAATAATTCAGTTCTAGTAACTCCTTGCCTGGCCAATGAAACCACTACATTGTTGGTTACTTGGCTGATCTATTGGTCTATGTGACTATTGTTCTTGTCTCCCTAGCGGTTTCTTTTACTTCTCATTATATGCTTGTATTTTCAAAGGTCCATTCTGTTGCTTCTAACCTGTTTCACTACAACCAGAGAGTTGCCTTCTACAACCACGTCTTCATATTTGAATTTTTTGTACAATCTTAGACGATGTAGCACTGCTAAAATTCAGCCCTTTTTGAATCTCCAAATCCAATTGAGCCAAGAGACCATCACTGTTTTTAAGCACCGCCCCTTTTTTTTATAAATATTAAGCACCGCCCCTATTCYTGAATTTCCTGGGTTACCAAGACTGCAACCATCAAAGTTTAGTTTGATTTAGTTATTTGTGGGCAGCATCCATCTTGTTATGGAAGTGATCCTGATAGAAGAAGAATTAATAACGCTTTGCCAACCCCTTATGGCCTTGTGATATCATCTGAGCGTTAGGAACTGTGAAAGATACACAATCATGTAACTAAAAAGCAAAGTGAATGAGCACACTCTCAGTGTCATTAATTTTACCCTGGCAGGAAACAAAACACAAAGCAACCTTCCCCTCCTCCCAAGCCACTGCCAACTTTTATCTTTTCCTCTTTCTTTCTTTTATCTCTGTGTCCTATCCTCCCTCATAATCTTATGGAGTTCTCTCAGTATTTTATTTAATTACTCTCATCATACTATAATTGGTGTAATGGTAAAATCTCAGGCTGTCAAGCGWGAGAACACAGGTCCAAGTCTAAGAACAGCCACTTTATGCGAAAAAATGGCAAAGGTTAGGACCATATCCAGTCCACCCCTCCCAAGACTCAGATAGCTGGGACGAACATTTTTTTTTTATGAATAGCTGGGACGAACATTGATTAATGGCCTTTTTATACAATTATACTATACTTTTGCTTCTCTTCAGATCTAACTCATTGAACCCCACTATCAAGACATTCCCTTAAGCATATTACCCTGCTAATTATTTACACAACTCTAGACTGTTTTTCCCTCTAGAACTTTAAATCTCTTTTGATATTTTCCTCTTAAAATAATCCCATTCCAGCTTCTCATTCTGCTTATCTTGAATATCTTATCTTTTCAGTCTTTTAACATCATTTTAATTTAAATGGCCAAGTTTAGATATTTCTAGATTGGCATTCCACAATCCACCAGGTACATAAATAATAATAATAACAATGATAATAATAATAATAATAATAAAGTAAAATCAATTCCATGGCAGTTAACATGTAATCATGATAAAATAAAGAAAAGTTTCTAGCATAAGAAACAAATAGGATGTACCACTAAGGATGCGTAGACGTTCATTTGGATCATCATCTCCATAGAACCATATCCTGGCATTGCTGGGATGGTAATACTTACGGTGGAAATCCTGAAAATAGATGTTCCACAAATTTATAATCCAGGTAGAAACAGCAAGCAAAATCTACACTTGCTTTTGAGCATGAACATTTTCTACAATTTACGCATGGATTCCTAACAAGAATGCACCAGATAATAATTTGTCATGACTGTGATAGGTGAAACAATAATTTGTCTAAAAATTCTATCATCAATTAAGTTAAAAGAGTTCAGAGAAGGGCGTCAACTTCCCAAAGAAAAAAGTGTTAACCCACTAAAGTTGTTTTTGGATTTGGTGGACAGAAGTGGAAAAACAGGAAGGTTAAAATGAATAGAAGATGGAATAACTATCCCTCCCTGTGAGTACCCCACAGAAAACAAGTATTAATTCAGTAAGGCTGTGTTTGGATTTCATGGATAGAAGTGAAAAGTGGGTGGAAAAGTTAAAAGTGAATAGAAGATGGAATAACTGCCTCCCCTACCCCCCAAAAAAAAATCTGTGAAAATGACAGAAAAATGCCTTAAAACACACATCCCTTGGCGAGAGAAGACCATTATGGATTTTTGGAAACCAAGAAAGAATAGCATAGAAATTAGGCCACAATCTGCAAAAGCAAGAGAGAAGGCTAAGGATAGGCAGGTTGGTGGAGAAGAATTCTGCTCTATTAGGTAAATGGCTGCAGTGATTGGTGTTGGATTTGTATAAGCTATGGCAAAACAGTCAAAGTATGACGGGTAATGGGTTGACTTGGCTGTAAGAGCCCCTTTAGCCTCTCCTTGGAAAGCCATCTCAGATTTGCTCCAAGTCTTTTTCCAATTTATTCATTACAATGGCTTTGTGGACTTGCAGACAGGAACTTAAGGAAAATAAATGGTTGACCATGAACCTGGAAATCATTCAGTGGGTGACAAGATCAACTAACAATATGACCAATACCTTGGCTAAACAAGGGTAAACAGGAATAACTCTTCTGGGCTGTATTGTAATCATTCTTTTTTCTCTTAGAGGATAGGTAGCTCTTCTAGCCTATCATTGGACTGTACATAGCACTGTAAATTTGTTGTGTTTTTCATTAATAAAGTCTCAGTTTCTATCAAAAAATATTATTCATTATTATGTTTGGTCTGGAAATAACACTAAATTTTGGGGGGATTTATGGTGGGAGACAGGCTATTGAAAGATCCCTATCTTTTATTCCATCTCTTCCTATGAGAATGAACTTGTCTCCCATTTTGTTTCCAGTCTTGATTTGGGGATGTCTTGAGACTTGAGTTTTAAGAAGAGGCTCAAGGGATATTTGAAACTAGCAAAACCCTAGATCCGGTTACCCCTTTGAAAGGCATATCTATCCTAGATAAGACCAAGGTTTYCAACCTGCCATGAACCAGGCAGTTGAACCAATTGAACCATCACCCATTGTCAATTCCAATCCAGGTAAATCCTAAACCTGGAATTTGATCAGAAACTGTTGACTTGGTCAAAAACCTGCTCAACCAAAGAGGCAGTTGAACTGTTGACCCGCTTGACCCAGTCACAGGTTACAAATAGTGTATATGGAAAATTCCAGAGGCCATAACGTTGCACTTGATACATCGATCAAAAAAAAAACATTGCGCTTGATAGTCAGATTGGGGTGACCATTTTTTTATTTTGGGTAACTTTTCGCATTTAGGGATATCAACGGGTCAGTTCTGCCTGACTGCCCAATTAATAATCAGGCCGGTTCCAGTTCTTGCTTGTCCTGAACCAATTATTTTATTAAATATATAATGTTTTCCTAATTCTATTATAATTTTAATTATATTTCATGTCTAGAATGGTAAATTTGATAGATAATATATGTGACAATGTAAGTTAAAAATTATTATTCATCAAAAAAAAATAAAAGTTAAAAATGTCTAATTTATTAACACATAAATGATTTAGTATTTTGTAATCATTTTTGTAATTTATTAACATATAAAATGTCTAATTTATCAAAATTTATGTTTTAAGTTATTATTTAAATAAATAAAAATAGTTGTCATAATAATTGGGTCTATCAAGTAGGACCGAACTACTAATAGGGACGGTTCTGGGTCCATTCTTTGTCCCAATTAACAATCAGTTCAGGACTGGCTCTACCTAGAACTGACCCAGACCCAACCCGTTGACAGTCCTATTCGCAATCAATGCATTCTAAGAAGCTGAAGRMACCTTGGCCCACTATTTTTGCCAAAAATGTTTTCTTTGGCCTCCAATTTCAATTTTTAAGCCCTACATACAAGCAAATCATCATACAAGAGGCAACAAAGTACATTGCCATAATTTACAATATTAACTAGAATATCCAAATGGAATACAGCCTATCCTAAACATTTTTCTATCATTGATGGTGCATGATGATTTTTTTATTTTTGATGAATTTGGTGGTGCATGATGATTGTGTTAATTATTATATGAAAAGTCCATTATACTTATCAAAGAATATCCCCAGGCCGAGGCCCCTCCAAACCAGATCTAGTCTTGTGACTCCTTCCCTAGCCAGAGAATCACTCTCTAAACCATGAATCACAGATTTTGGAAGTGTGTGATATAATTAATGAAAGTGTAGCATTTCTCTTATCTCATAAGAGAGGCCCACTATTGCAAGTGTAATAATTATGTCTCTATCTTTTTTTGAACAGTTTGACAACCCCCTTCCCTGGGGCTTTCCTTGGATTCCATAGCCTCTATTTTAACCTTTCCCTTTTTTTAATAATTTCCTTTTCAACCCAAAAAACAACATATCAAAAGTCCATATTCAAAAGATAGGTTGTAAACAAGTAAGAAGTTGATATTTATACATAAACAATAGAAAAAAATCATATTTATACATAGAAACAAATAGACCGCAAGGTAGAACTAACCTTGAATTCCTCAAATGTGAGCTTAGGAATAACTTGTGGATCACCCCCACTATCAACACCATAAGTAGTGTCTGGAAAAAGTGCCTATAGCAGATTTACCACATAAAAATAATGAATGGTGTTGCTAACTCTTCCAAAAAAGATGCAACCACTCAAATTTTGTAAAACCACATGGCAGCTAGAAGCATTTTCATGAAACATTCAATCTTTGACCCAGGAATAAGTATGAACACAAATATCAAGATTGGAATCTAGAAAGGGTCAGTATTTCAAATATTTTCAGTCATATATCCATTCAAATCAGTTTAAATAGTTCATCTGCTCATGAACTACTCCTACATGAAAAACACGTAGATACAGGATTTTTTCAAACATGATTAAATAGAAGGAACCAAGAGGAAATAAACTTGGAAAAGACAGTGACAGTCCACAAACAACATATTATATGTATTGTAGAATTTTATCATCTAAAGGTTTCTCTAATTCTCAAAAATAAGCACAAGAGCAAAGAAGCATGCTTGCAATCACAAGTAACTTTCAGAAGGATGTTTTAGTTGTTTCCAATTCCGCCTTACACAAATAGAAGCACAACATAGAACAAACCAGTTGGTTTGTTAAAATGATGCCCTAACAACTATTTAAGAAAAATGAACTTTGTAACAAGACCATAGTCCCTTTCACAATAATGACCTTGAAAATCTTCCTAAGCTTGTAGAGGAACTGCATTTCTACTTAAGCAGTAAATTAATACTTAAATAATTGCATATAGCTTAGACGAAGATTACAGATATTGCCGCATTGGCATCCTGAAGAGAATGACTAATGAATAGTTAATTACAAAGTATCAAAATAACAGTAATGCACACTAATCAATGGTTTTGTTACAAAATACCAAAGAAAGAGAAATGCACCCCCCACCACCACCACACACATACACACACCAATATGTAGAGACAGGTATTGAGTGATGCTTGCCTGTTGAGCTAATCGGCCTAATATATTATCAGGCTGAGAGTATACCCCTTTCATCTCATTGAAAACAACCCCTACAAGTAAAAAATAATTAAAAAAAAAAACTAGAAAAATCAGAGATTTCCCATATAAGGAAAATGAAACAAGCAAAATATTAGGATTTTTTAAATGACTAAAACCTGTTTCTGAAAATAGAAAACCTTGGAACATAAATATGTAACAAGTGCAACCTTTAAAAGACATATCCTCTGAAGGATCGTTAAGCTCATAATGCCAACCCTCCTGTTGAAATGTCTGGAGGTCCTGTATGCACTTAGGAAAGAAGACAGCATCCAGGTAGACATCGACCAGATTGTAGAAATCCTAAGGAATGATAGGATCAACATCCATTAATCTAAATTAAAGAAAAAAAAGTATGACTGCATCTAAAATCCTCAAACAGCATACTCATGCTTACCTTAGTGTTTGTGGAGGCAACAGGATAGCATGTCCTATCAGGGTAAGTGAATGCATTTAGAAAAGTGTGCAAGCTCCCTTTCAACAATTCAACAAATGGTTCCTTCAAAGGGTACTTCCTTGATCCACACAATACGCTGTGCTCCAATATGTGAGGAATTCCAGTTGAGTCTTTCCTACATTTTTACAAATAGTCACAAGGAAATAATGAAGCATTGAGCGGCCAATAGTTGAGGTGTAAGAAACCCGGTATCAACTTATAATAAATTCAAGAAATCCTATGGAATTATCTGTAACATTGAAACCTTGAAGCCACAAAAACAAACGAAACCTTCCATTTTCCTATCAATGATAAAGGTTGAAAACATAAGTATATTAATAAGTGTTTTAAGGCAGGTCAACAAAACTTCAAAAGGGATAACGTAGGAAAATCGAAGTGAATTTCACCCTTTTGCCATTAGAGTTAACGTGTTATGTATAAAACTTTTGACATAACTAGTACGCTGAACGAGTAAGTCTTCCGGAAAGTAACTGCTTAGAGTCTCAAATGGGCAACTAAACCGAAGTGAAATCCCCAATGAACCTCCAGGCATATAATAAATAAAGTGAAACTAAGATGCCCACTTTGAAATAGTCGACCCCATTATCACATCATCATGCATAATAAGATATGAGAATTCGCAGTATGCATTCAATGTAGAATGTCACTTAAAATCAAATACATGATAAGAAAACCGCAAAACCAGTAATGAGGATAACACTTACGGTGGAGTCCGGAAAACAATACCAAAGACCTTATTCTCGTCATCATTGGATACAGACATTACTTCTGCTCCGGTTTTCTTATGCTTATAGAGAACAGCTTTTGATTTACATTCTTGAATCACTTGTTCGGAAATCTTCTCGAATCCAAGCTTCTCGGCGACTTCATCGTGGCTCCCGCCAATGTCTAGAAATAGAAATGAATCAATACAAGGAGCATTAGACACGGGGGATTTTGTAGAAAAGAAGAGGCAAAAGAAAGGAATCAGCTTTTTCTTCTAATTTTCGATTGAAAGTACCTGGAGAGGCGTATTGGGGAGAAGTGGCGATAGCTCTGGGGGTAAGAGAGGAAAAGCATCTATTGAGATGAAGGGAGGAGGGAGAGCTGGAAATCAACCTGCAAGGGTGACGAAGAGCAGAGCGGCCGTTCGCGGAAGGAAACAAACGTTTTTGCCTACGAGAAATGGAAGTAGAGGAGGACGACCACCTTGTTAACCTGTGACCCGAACGAAAGAAGAATCTGCTGTAGGCGGCCGAAGAACACGATAATGACCGAAGCAAAACCGTTCTCTCCATTACTTCTTTACCCTTATTTGCTTTCCCTTCTCGATTTTAATCTCTAGAGCGAGCGAGCGGCGACCGGTCCGCGTGCTGGAGTGTTTTCCCCTCTTGCTGTTTATCTTCTTACAGAATAGAAGCAGAGATGTCCAGGTATACGGGGTTATAGATTTTATTTCTTTCTTTGCAACTTTCGTTTGATAGATTTTATTGGAAGGGAACATATAGAATCCATTTAACACGAATCTGATCTATGGTTTTCTGGGTTTTAGACGGTATAGATTGATTGATCAGGATTCAAATTTAGAAAACAATCCTACCAAAAAAATATTGTTCACCAATTTATTAAAATAAAAAATGAGTACACAAAATGAAATAATGCCGTGCCTTCTTCTAGACGGCTCAGTTTACTAGTTTAGTGGCTCGAGTACTACCATGTTGCGTCTTCACTGTTACCAGAAAAAATAAATAATTTAAAAAATATTCATGTTTTATCAAAAGGAAAAGAAAAAACAAAATAAAAAATTTATAAAAAACGAGAAGGCGCTTATCAAGATTTTTTTAGGGAATTTGTCTAAAGCTCACCATGAGTTTTCAACATTTTTCTTAAATTAATTATAAATTTTACAATTTTTCAAAATGTCTAAAACTCACTGTGTCAATAAGTTTTTATTTTCCAAAACTCAACTTCTATTAATGCACCATTAATGCTTCTTAATAGAGATGTGCATGTTAACATAAATAACAATTTTCATGACCAAATTATCCTTGAATGGTGAGTTAGAGGAAAAATAGTCTTTTTCAGTTTTCAATTTTCTTGTTTCTTTTACGGTTTTAATGATTTGTTATAATTTCCAATGTTTTTTATAATTTATATTTTTTACATTTTCTATTCTCTACAATCTATAAATTTTTGGTGTTTTTTCTACCATTTTTATTTTCTTATCTTGTTTTTCAATTTCTATAGTTTCTATAATTTGAAAATAATTTTTTATTTTGTTTGCAATTTCTATAATTTTTTTGTAATTTATATGTTTTTATGTATTTTATATTTGAAAATATTTTTTTTGAATTTTTTCCTTTTTTCATGTTTAAATATTAAAATGGTAATATATTAACACCCATTAATTTATTTTGTATATATTTTATATTTTTTTATGAAGGTTAAAATGGTAATATATTAACATCCATTAGTTTGTTTAACGTCAAGTTAGTGGCATGGTGAGTTTCCAAGTTCAAAGTATCGACACGTAACAGCCGATACATATCGTATCAGGAGCACCCTGATACGCCCCTAAAGAGGGTGTATCATGGTTCTAACCAGTTCAAGGGGTAGAGGAGCCTTAAACCGTCACCCCTAAACCGGTTTTGAAAAAAGAAAAGAGTAAAAAAAAGACCGATACTACCCAATACGCCCCTATCGGCGTATTGATATTTAGAACCTTGGTGAGTTTTAGTCAATTTCCCTTTTTTTAGATTGATTGATGAATGATTCACACCCAATCAGCAATCACAAATATTTTACCAAAAAGGAAAAAGAGTTAATTGACGAGATGGCAAATTTTCCCATAAAATCGGATATTAAATGGGACAGATGGGGACAAGGAAAATAGGTTATGCCCTAAATTAGGAATAGGGTTTCCCATTTCCATATAATTTCTCAAATCCACACTAAATCTATTAGTAAATTAATAAATATTTATAGTTTTAATATTAATTTATAAAATAACTCTAAGGTCTATTTGGTTTATAGTCAGAATTGGAATCATAATCGGAATAGTTATTCCCTTCATCTGTTTGGTTCGAGTCCAGATCTGCTCTCACAAGGGGTGCCTCATAGCGTCCTCACAATAGTGGGTTGCGCCATGTGTCTTTTGGATTTCTATGGGAGCAAAACACTAGCAGAGGGGGAACAAACATGGTTAATAGTAATCGATAGCAACACATTCACCCCCGCATCCAAGGTTCAAAGTATTGACATGTATCGGCTGATATGTATCATTCCGAGACCCCTCCGATATGCCCCCCTATAGTGGGTGTATCGGAGGTCTGACTAGTTCAGGGGGTAGAGGAGACCTAAATCGCCCCCTGAACTAATTGCGAAAAAAAATAAAAAAAAGGCTCCAAAATGTGTACCGATTCGCCCGATACACCCCTATCAACGTGGTTTAAATCACATCTCCAGGTCACTAGCGAGACAAGACTCCGACAATTATGCTTCTTTTCTCTTTTCCTTTCCAAACCTCTCATCCCTGTTTCTTTTCTCTTTACAAAGGATCCAAACCCTTTTTTTTCTTCAAGTTAGGACCCAAACCTCTCTTCTCTCTTGCGGGAATTAGTCTCATTGGCATGGTTTAAAGTATCAATACGATACGCCCCGTATAGGGTGTATCGTGTCGTATCTTTTTCAAAAGATACGGTCCAAAATGCCTGTTTCCAGGTGTTTCAGACCCCCAATTTTTTTTTTAATAACAAAAACATGTTTTAAGATTCCTAAAAACAAAAAAAAATGAAAAAAAACTAAAAAAAAAGGTGTTTCGGCCATTTTAAGTACCGATACGATATGGCCGATGCATATCGTATCGATACTTTGAACCTTGCTCACTGGTGATGATAGACACCGACGAATTGATTCCGACAATTCAAACCCACGTAAATCTCTCCCAAAATCTTAAGAACAAAAGGCTGTTGAAAAATACGTCTCTCGTGTTTTTTTCAACTGCAAAGTACTCCCATCGATTGACTATTGCCGGAGTTTTATCTCACAGATGACCACCGGAGATGTGATTACAAGTTTACAACCCACTTAACCCAATACAGTGTCTTCTCTTATGCATTGCTTTATCTATCTATTTTTGAGCTATTTCTCCCAAACTCAGTCATGGATTCATGGCGGCACTGTAGATGTACAAACCTTCATCATTGATGCTGGTGGTGTTGTTTTGTGGGCTTGTGTTCGTTCTTCAACTATAGTTTTTGGGTTTGGAAGAAAGGTGGGAGGAAGAAATTGAAATGAATTTGGATTGGATTGAACCAGGTCCAACTGTTCAAATTCATTTTAATTTAGGTATCAATGGAACAGGTTTGGGTTGGAACCAATCTAAATTAAAATGAATTTGAACAGTTTGGACGGTCTAATGGGACTGGTCCAAAATATAAATTGGATTGGACCCAGTCCATTTGTAATGTATTCACATTGTACTGGATCGGATTGGACCAAATCCAGTCCGATAAACACCCCTACTCGTACATCAATGCGCATTTGTCATAAAAGTAGAATTGTAGTCTCCACTGCAAAATTTTCCTATTTTTAGCCAATCGCATTAAGAATTTAAGATAAATCTTAGCATCGGCAAAGGATCTCAATAAACAGAGATTAAATGTGCTTTCCAATAAAATTTGATCCGTAATAAAAGATGCATTCATAAAAGGTGTTGGTAGCAGACGTAAACCATATCAAATGGCAACATCTTCATCAAAATAGAGAGTTCGGATCAAACATGTTAAATTGCCTTGAAGGAAATGCTCAAGATCTTTTTATTTTCCTGCAAAGTCACTCGAACTAGGACAATTTCCTTGGATAGAATACACATGTAACCTGCTCCAAGTAGGGACAGAGAATGATCCAAGACTAACATGCTCACAGTAAAATGATGATTTCTTACGGGCCTCTTTGCTCAACGTACGACCCAGAAAGCCCAGAGGTCCCAAGAACTGTGACCTGCAATTCCAAAAGAAAAATAATATTTGTGGAAATTAAAAAAAATATAGAGTAATGTCAATAACCATGAGTGAACTTTACAGACTAACCATTGCCAAAATGACAAACTAATGGTGTATAAGTCAAATTTTGCAGGAGTATCAATGCTGCATATCACACTTGCAGCTTGGAACACAAAATGACAAACTAATGGTGTATAAGTCAAATTTTGCAGGAGTATCAACCATGGGTCTGATATCTAGGGAAAATAACTGATGATGGTAAAAAATGTGTCCATCATTGAAATAAGAAAACCTTTGGATGGCAAAGGAAAGAGAACATGATTCAGTAAGACAATTATCAGATATAAAGGCATATATCATGTCATAGGCATATAGCATAAAATACAAGCATCAAATAAATATGCTTCTGACCTAGTTCTTCTTTCTTTATTTTTCTCTAAAGTTGTTACTGATATGAACACTTAGCTATCTAAGTTTTGGGAATCATGCATTGAATTTATAGAAGACTAAATATCGAAGACTTTATTTAGTCACGAGTGAAAATCCAAAAGCCTAGGAAATAAGAGAATCATGCATCGAGTATATAGAAGACTACAAAATAAGATAACCATGCACTCTGGTTTCGGCTGAGGGGCCATTTGATAATGGCTAAGGTGACTAAACTGAATGATTTATTGCTTTGTCTTTTAGTGGATATATTGATTAAATCATAAATATTCAAGTATAGTAATAAATCCAATTTAGGTTTCAGCCATTAAGCAAAAAGTCACTTTGATCTGCCTACTTATTACATCCACTTTTAGAATACCAGCTAAGGTAGCTTTTTTTTTTTTTTTGGGTATGATTAATAACTTCCCCCTGACCCCTTTTTCCCCAAAGTGCTGGTTGCGGGATTTGATTCCTCGTCAATGTTGAAACAAACCAGCTAACATACCAATGAGCCAGCCCTCGGTTGGTCCAGCTAAGGTAGCTAAGCAACTAGAAAAGTACAAGAGGGATTTCATGTGGGAAAAAAGACCACTTGATAAAATGGGAACAAATGTGCAAACCAAAAGAGTTGGGAGGCATTGGCATCAGAAACATAACAAAAGAAAATACAGTCCTTGTAGGAAAGTGGCTTTGGAGATTCCCTTTAGGAGATAGGTTGTGGTGTAGGGTCATTGAAAGCATCAATGGTGTGGCAGAAAATGGCTGGGACGCAAAGTTGGCACCTCATACAAAATCCCCATGGAAAGCAATTTCAGAGGTACTACCAACCTTTCTCACTTACACCAGGTACTACCAACCTTTATCCAACTATAAGGCTGAACCTATTTCTAAATTTGGACTGCCTTCAGAAACTCGGTTGAACTGGGATTTGGTTTTAGAAGAGGCTTAAGGGATAGTGAATGTGACCTCCACCCCTGGAGTTTATGAAGTTAAACTTCGATGGGCGTAGTGAAGGCAACCCAGGACCATTAGGTGTTGGAGGTGTAATCAGAAATGAAAGTGGGAAGGTGGTTGCATTATACTCAGCTCCCATTGGGTTGGGTGATCTCTTAGAGCTGAATTGTTTGCTTTGTTAGTAGCGCTCAAGGAAAGCAAAGGAGTTGAACATCCAAAAATTCATTACGGAAGGAGACTCACAGCTAGTGTTAAATTGGTTACGGAAGGGTAATGGTTTTTGGATCTATGCTAATGAGAGAAGAGAGGTTAAGTGGCTGCTGAGGGGAGTGGAAATCCAGGTTCATTGGGTGAAAAGAACTACAAATGCCTTTGCTGATAACTTGGCAAAACAGGGGGTGGGTAGGGGTCAATTGTTTTGGGCAATTCTGTAATTTTCTTGTTATTTGGGGGAGAGTTAAGTCAGTTTATCTCTCCCTGAAATTTTGTATGTATTCTTGATTTCTTTTAATAATATTAAATTCTGTTATTGATAAAAAAGGGATAGTGAATATGAGTCCCTAATTCTCCTACTTTCAAAACTGGAAATGTCTTTCTAGACCAAAATACTTAGACAGTAGAGTTTGGAACTTTGGACTCCTTTGCCTGATGGTTGTTTCATTTGTGCTTCTTTCTTTAACATTCCTGTTCTAACTGAACCTAGGGGGTGAACTTCCCAGTAAGAGAAATCTGGTGCAGACCTATCCCTCCTAAGGTACAAGCTGTGTTGGGAACTGTTTATTGAAAAGATCAATACCTGCAACTTGCTACAGAAAGAAGGCCAAATAAGTGCCTCTCCTCATATGTGTTTCCTTTGCAAGGAGAGTGGTGAGACTCTCCCTCATTTATTGCTCTCTTGTTCCTTTGTATCTGGTATTTGGGAATGTGTTTGCTCTCTTTTTGGTTGCAGATGGACTCCCCCACAAGATGTAGTAGAGTTATTGAACTCCAGTTTCTTGAGGCAACAGAAAAAGAGAGGAAGGATCATGTGGAGGTTGGTAAGAGCAGCAGTGGTATGGACCATTTGGGAAGAAAGAAACCAAAGAACCTTCAGTGAGAAGAATAAATCTAAAGAGGAACCGGTTGAAATCATAACAGTCAGGACAGCACATTGGGTAAAGACCATGGACTTTTTCCATGAGTTCTCAACCAATGACATTTAATGGCTTGGACTGCCATGGCGCAATCAGATAGATGTGTAGAAAAAGTGCAGGTGGATTGGAGACCGCCAGTTGGGAATAGCATGAAACTGAATTTTGATGGAAGCTCGATGGGAAACCCAGGAAGAGCAGGCATAGGGGGTGTATTCAGAAATAACCGTGGAGAGGTAGTGGCCTTGTATTCAGGTCCAATTGGCTTTGGAGATTCAGTTCAAGCTGAAATATGGGCTCTACTACAAGGAATGAGACTTGCTGCACAATTTGAAATCAGGGAACTGGAAATTGAAGAAGACTCACAATTAGTAATTGCTTGGACAAAGAGAATCAATTCAGCCCCCTAGAAATATAGACACACTTTTAGGGAAATTGATGCTCTAGCAAAAAGATTCAATGCAACTTTTAATTGGGTAAGGAGGACTGCAAATGGGATGGAAGAAGTGCTTGCAAAACAAGGAGTTGACAGGCATCTTCTATTTTGGGCAAAATTATAAGACGATGTAATCTGAAAAGGGGGAAGGGTTTATTGAATTTTCCAATCTGTACTGAATGCCATAATTTTTATAAAGGGTCATTTACTAAAGCATTCCCTATAGTTTCATAAATTTACTAAAACCTACTGTATAGTTTGTGTTTTACTAAAACATCCCCTATAGTTTCCAGCCGCCTCACCTCTTGAAGCTGGTTACTCCCTGATCCAACAAGGTCCCGCTCACACCCCGTCCTTTCCCTACTTGCCCCCATTTGGGCTAGCCTCTCAAAACATCGGGCCACTACCTATTGATGAGCCTTTCTTCATTTAAAATTTGAGCATCCCGCTTCATTTGGTTATCTCCAAGTGGCTCACGTGCCCCACCAGGAACCGTCCCATCTGATTCTCCCAAGCGATCCACAGGAGAGGGTCGGTCGTTCAATGCATGCCATGTCAAGGGAAGAAAATCCCTTGTGAAGATTCCCATGAGACAGGAACTCTTCATCTTCTCCGTCTACCTCCCCACTTCTGATCAACCCCCTCATCATCCCCATCTGTCGCAATTTCCTTGCCTTTTAACTTCCTCCTTATCTCCTCTGGTACATCCTGCCCAAGGATTAAAGTATCGGTATCGGGTATCGTATCGAACCACTCAGATACGGATACGGATATGGATACGCTTTGGAAACGCATGGACATGGACGGAAAAATATGGATATGCCAAAAATGCATATAAATTCCATAAACATATTAATAACATTATTTTTAAGATCAAAATAGCCATAATTAATGTATACATACATAGAAAATGTATATTCTAAAGGTATATGTGAAGAAATGATGCATAGAAATCATAAAATTTTATTGATATTGTATCAATCAAGAATCCTGGAACATATATATATTAAAAATTAATACATGCACAAAACTATTATTATGCTATTTTCTATTGAATTTCAAGGTACAAAACATATGCAACTATTATATGTGAATTAATATGTCGATTATTTTCTATTTTACTATTTTTAATTTTTAATAGTAACTAAAAATTAATTCTCAAATGTTTAGTTAACAATATTTTTATCTTTGTAAACAATAAAAACGTTATTATAAAATGTAATTAAAATATAAATTAAAAATTTATAAATAATATATAATATTAACTTAAAATATATCAATATATTAATTTTTCTAATATACACATCATATGAAAATTCATAATTTTTAACTGTTAAAATAATTATTCCATTATTAATATTTTTGTCTCCATAAATTTTGAGATAAAAAAATCATTTTTTATATAAATGTAGATTAATGGATTTGACAAATTCAATTTATATTATATTCTCGAGGTGTTTGTAAATAATATTTTTATTTTTATAAATAATATATATATATACTTTTATTTAGTTCACATTAAAATATTAATTAATAATTTATAAAATTTTAAGATACATGTCATGTTAAAATTTATAAATATTAAGTACCAAAATAATTATTCTATTATTAATATCTTTTATTGTATAAATTTCTTGAGATTAAACAAATTTTTTATATAAATGTGGATTTAAGAAATTATTTATTCTATTAGTTTATAAAATATTAGTTTTGAATATTACTTTTTTATTTTTTTGGAATTGTTAAACATAAACGTAATTTTTTTGTATTACATTTGGACACTAGAATATAAAGAAGTTATTTTATTTTATTGGATTACACAAGATTAAAAGTGGCTTAATGGTTTATGCGCGCGTTTAAGGTTTGGCACTGGGTGGTTTGTGTTTGAATCACGCCAGGCTCACCTTTTTGAAAATAAACGCGAATGCGCAGAAAACACCGATCCGTATCGGCCGTATCGGTGTGTATCGCTTTGATACATTACGATATGGGCTGATACAAAGGCGTATCGTTACGATACGCATGATTCAAGAGATACGGGTTTATTCGTAGCATATCCCGTATCTCCTCTAGCCGATACCGATACGATACGCCCCATATTGGACGTATCGTATCGATATTTAAATCCTTGATCCTGCCCAACCAAAGCTTTCCAGATCCAACTCTGGTTAGTGACAACAGTCTCTACGCAAGCCATCGGCCTTTTTTTTTTCACAGATAGGAACTTTTTTGCAATCAACTTACTTAATCAACCTTCTATTAAATGAAAGTGGAAAATGACAATTTTAACCCCAACATCCATTTGAATAAATTTAATCAAAAGAAACTAAAAACAAAAATATCATTTTTGCACCTAGTAAAACAGGGGCAACTACTCKATTTTTTCTCTATTTGGTCAATTTTGTTTTTTATACAAAAAAGTGTTAAGGTACTTTTGGAATAAACAACAATGGATCATACCCTTGAACATTTTCCACTCAGTTTAGGGGTACTTTTGGAATAAACAACCATTGGTCCATGCCCTTAAACATTGTCCACTTAGTTTAGGTGATCAAATTACTATTTTCAGATGGCAAAACAAATAATTTTTAATGAAAGGTTGGTTAAGTAAAAAGGTTACAAACTATAAGGGGTGTTTTAGTAAAAAATGCAAATTATAGGATAGGTTTAAGTAAACCTGTCAAATTATAGGGGGTGTTCTTGTAAATGACTCTTTTATAAATCATTAATTAAATCTTTTTATGCTAAAAAAAATAAGCCATTCAGTTCAGCCAATTCAACTATTATAAAATGGCCCGAGTATTTTTATGATTGAAACAATAAGACCTAAACATCATATTCTCTTAGCACAAGTAAAATCCCATGTTCAAAAATATACAATAACAGAGTGAAGAGACCAAAACCTGATCTAATGTTACAATGTGACCCGTAATTGAACACTTATGAAAAATCTTTGGGACTTAGTTTTGCCATATAAGCCTTTAACAATTACCAGGAAACCAGAACAATACAAAAGCATTAGAATAACAAAATTTTACCTTTCCCCATTCAGAACCAAGGCCACTGCATCTCATCTTTAGGTGTATCATTTTTGTCCCTAATTCCATCTCAACTTTCTTCCGCAAATAGACTTCATTGGGACCAAATGCATCCAAGTATGTCATGTAGCGTTTGTAGACTGTACGGAGAGCATTTACAAACTCATCTGGCAGGGGCTTCACATTCTGTTAAACAGAAAAATCTAAAATGATCAAAACCACAAATAAGCTCAAAAGAGGGGGAAAAGGTGCCAATCTGGTCCCAGTTCCCATGTAAAATGCATACCTCACCACTCAACCCAATGCTGTCGTCAATTTCCATCCTTAAAGTGACAAGGACCCCACCAAACTGTTCAACAGCCTCGGCTGCACGGAAAACATTTTTCAAGACCTCCTGCCCAACCTTGTCATCGGTATTTTTGGACAGAGCCCTCTTAGCGTCATTGATGACAGCATCTGGGAGCTCATCCCAACTTGCAGCCATTAAATCCTTAAAAACATTTTGAATGTAAAGGTCTGTTATGACAGGCAAGTGAGTTACATCTTCACTGAATGAACGTAGCCCCCAGATGCCCATTTCTGAAGGAGGACTACAATACCTGGCTGTTCACAAAGAGCAAGTTTAATGAAGTGGAAAATAATAAGTCTTATTTGTGTATTATCATGCAGAAGAGAAAGTATAAGCTGCAAATATCGTCATCATCATCCAAGCCTTATCCCATCTATATGGGGTTGGCTACATGAATCTTGTTTTGCCATTCCTTTCTGTTCAATGTCATATAAATTGTTAAATTATTGGCTTTTAAATCATTTCTTACTACTTCTGTCCTTGTCCATTTTGGTCTACCCCTAGCCCTTCTAGTCCCTTCAACTTGCAACATGCTAGAGGGTGCAAAACTGCAAATACATACAAGAAATAAATTAAAAAAAAAAAGGGCTATAATCTCACAGTTCCAGTGTTCCATGTATGCTACATGCTAGAGGGTGAGGTGCATCATTGAATAGGTACAATCTGAGACTTGTTAAGTAAACTTTGATCAAATCAAGCATTCATACAATAAAGTCCTGACATTTTTACCACACTTCTAGGTTGCCCTTACAGTCCATCCGGGCGTTATAAATAATATAAGCAATCACTCATCTGAGCAATTTTTAGCCAATTAAAAAAGCCAACTCAGACTCATATAGTGGCAAAGACTACTAGTCCTTCCACAAGAACGACATATACTGCTATGCTGTTGTAGCCTGTATTTGGTTTATGGAAACTTTTACTGATCATAGGTGCATATTTCTGACTAAGGGTGCATTTGGCATTCCTTATTTTAAGGACTTATCTCCTTTTTGCAGTTAAAATGCCCCTATGAACATTGAGTTTTTAAGGAATGCCAAATGCAGCTTAAGTCTTAACTGATCATAGGTACATACCTCTGCCTAGAATGGTAAAGTACAAACACAACATTCATGGATTTGAACTCAGAACCTCAATGAAAATATGCAAATCTATATTGCTAGCTCAGAACTATATCCTATAAATATTTAATTACAACCTCTCTCAATGTTCATGTGTAATTGTAACATGGACCACCACAAGTACATCATACCATATCTGTCCCAGAGAAACACAAACAAGATGAAGAATACAATCTATCTCTCTCAAACTTTTGTTATGGCATGTGCAAGTATTTAAAGGGTGTGAAAGTTGGACTTGGCCAATATTTGAGATCAGTCTCCTAACTCCTTGTCATTTCCTAAATGTGGTTGAGTCACAACTTCAGTTCCCAGACAAGATCCTAGATCTTTGAAAAGACCACACATTAGTTCAACAAGGACCAATACTTAACATAAATTACAGGAGTCACTTTAAAAACAAGTCAAGGCTTGAGAGAGTTTTAACATCTTCACTAATGCTGGAGGTCATAATTTGGTAAGACAAATAAAATAATGCTCTTGCAGGGCGTTTGTTTTATTAAACTAGTGGCTTATCAGTGCTGCACTTTTATTACATTGAATCCAGATAAAAAGTAATCTTTCTCCATCTGAGCCATTAGGCTACTGGTTCAATCATACCCAGAAAATTGGCTCAGGAACTGATATGGAATGCCATGCCAGCAGTCGCTTATCAATTCATTCATTTCTAGCACCTCCCTACGTAAAAGGCAAACTATAAAAAAAAAAAAAWTAAAAAGTGATATAACCGCAAACGTCAGTCAGGCAGTTAATTCGGAAGTAACAAGATCTAGGTAGGAATGAGCTAGTAATTTTCATCCTATGAACCTCGTGACAGCTAAAAATTCTGCAAATTAATGATTGATCCAGATGAAATTGGAAAACAACGATAATCCATACTGCCCTTCCCGAAGAAAAGCACATACAGACATTTATCACACACATACATGGTACAAATTCATTCGGCAACTGGCGAAAGTGTGAAAACCCCACATATCATCCCCAAAAGTGATCAACGAAACTATAGGCTAGCCTATTGTTTAAGAGGCTAAGGCATTAAGACCTGGATCACAAGTTAAAACTTATCAAACTCGAAACAAACCAAGCTAAGAAATGTATCGAGGAATAGATCATGTCCACGATTGTTGTTAACTGTCTGAAATGAATGAAACTAAATTGGTGGCTAGGAATTCCATGATCCCAGTGGACGGTAATGTTCAGCTTATGATTAGTACAATAAGTACCATTGTAGTACTAAGGCATGAGAAACTTACATTAATGACTTAATCCAAACAGATAACAACATTTCGTTCAACAGTAAAATTATTTGTTTTCTTCCATAAAAGGAAACCTAAAAAGAAGTCTGATATCTCAGCTTCTTGTAGGCCAGAATTTCTTTTTGGGAAGGTTTCCCCTTAATCGATAAAACCCAACTAAAAACCGTTTGCTAGATCAAAACCGCAAACCGATGCGAGGAAATAAAAGAAACAGGAATTTAAAGTGAAGGATATAGGAAGTACCAGAAGACATGCAATTTGAATACACAGCAATGGTTCGGGGAGAGAGAGGGAAGAGGCTTCGGCTGCTGTAATGGCGAAGGCCATGGAAGAGAGTTTTCTCATTAACGGYGGAGGAACGACAAGATCTGAAGCACGTGGAACGGTACAAGGATCTTAGAAGAGCCAATCTCCCCATTTTCCTGTGATTGTAAACAAGGGAGAGGTGGTGATTACTGCTCAGCCTGAGAGTTGAAAGAGTTCTGAAGAAAGAAGAGAGAGTATCTATTGATGAAAAAGAAAAAAAAGACAGAAGCCTGCAAGCACAAACTCTGCATACACGAGACCTCTCCGCACATTAGGAACATCTCCGTATAATTTAACATAATGTACGGAAGATATTCTTAATATGCGGCTGGGTGCTATGTTAGGAGAGTTTTTACTTGCAAGAGATTCGGGGTCGTGATGGAGTCCTAGGTGGACGGCTGAGATTGTCTCTTTATATCGTAAAACGTCCGATTGGCATTTTTTATCTCCGACCCGAGATTGATACAATGTGTAGAGCCTTTTCCGCCAAGAGTGTAGCCTCTATTTTTACTCTTTGGTTGAATCCTTGGCCAAAAGGCCAGGTTCGGCGAAGGCGAGGAGATCGGCTTCAGTGCTAACAAGAGTGCGCTTCCAAACGAGGCTGCAAGAGACTGTGCGAAAGACTGTGAGCACAAAAGCCGATTTCCTCTCGTTTCTTTCTCAAAATGCACCAATAAGCTCCACCTATCGGTTCTAAACTGTAGTCATTCCTGTCAATATCTGGTGGTAGGCAAAAGTAGGTCGAGTTTGGAGTCGAGTCGAATAATTGGCTATTTAAGTTTAGTTCGTAGAAATAATGTTAGGTTCGAGCTCGATTTGAGCTAGAGATTTTAACTCAAGCTGAACTCGTTTTAAAAGTTCGTAAGTTCAAGCTTTGCTCGGCTCAAGTTTGACTGTAAGCCAAGCTTTTCTAAAAAATAAAAATTATACATATAAAATTAATTTTTATTTTACATACAAAAATAAGAATTATAAAAATTATTTACTATTATACATAAAAATAAAAATATTATATATATGTATATTGATAAGTAATGTATATGTATGTATGTATGTATAATAAAAATATTATTTATTATACTAGGCTCGATTATGCTCATGAGCCTCACTAGCCGAGTTTCACTAGGCTCGAGCTCGACTCGATTAGCATACAACCCTATATCGGGCTCGAGCTCAACTCGAAACTCAGTTTAAATTGAGTCAAGTCGAGCTTTTCATGATCCAAGCTTGAATAGCTCGTGAGAAACTTGGCTTGTGGTGACCCTTATTGACACCACATGTAAAAACTCCAAGTTTGCAAACATGTGCCACTAGCAAAGGCAATACCTCAAAAGAGATTTGTTCACCCTCCAAACACAAGACACTTATCACCATTCATTAGTGTTTTCAATCCATCATTGACCCGATTGGTTGAATTGTTCGAACCATCACCCAACCAAGATTCTAGATCCAATTCTAGTACAACCCCGAAATTGGTCAAAAATTGTTGACCGTGTCACAAACCATCTGACCTGGCTGGTTGGATTATTAACTTGTTCGACCTGGTGATTAGGTCATGGGTTGCACACTAAACTTGTATGCAAACTTGTAGAGGCCATAATTTTGTGCTCTGATGTTCGATTGGTGGTGATGTTTGTTTTGGGTAACTTTTTGAAATTTGTGTCCCAACTCCCAAGGGGCCGTAGGCCCCTTGCCCCACTATTTTCACAAAAAAAAAACCTTCTTGGCCTCTTAAATCAAAACTTTTAATATTTTTTACAAATAAAATATAAAAATTGAATAAAAATATAAATTAAATATAAAATAGTGCATATATTGCATATAGAATATAGTTATACATTATTTAATGAAAAAATGTGTACACACATGTGTGTATAACTATACATATACTTAAATATATAAAGTCTTGATGTGGCATGATCTAACTTGTTTGATCAAGATGGTTGAACCGATGACTCGTAACCCAAAGGCAAAAATGTTTTGACCACCAAGTTAGTTTTTAAAACATTGCTTATCACAACAAGACAAGTAGTCGAGATGTGAACCCAACAATCTCATCATCTGATTCACTTAATACTCGAGTAAGGATAATAGTGTCATGTGTCTGCTTGATAGGTCTCCCTATCAAGTATCAATGTAATTGAGCTCACTTGGAAGAATGCTTCAAACAAGGTGGGTGGAACATTGTGATTTTTAAGATTTTTTTGGTAGGTGTAAATCAGGTTGTGCTGCCTGCGGCCCGACACGAATTTGGATTGGTCCGGCCCGACCCGACACGATATCCCGTAAGCCATGCCAGGTCTGACACGATATCCCGTAGGCCATGCCAGGCCTGACACGATGGTCTGTGCCATGCTAGGCCGGGGGTTCGTAGTCCACGGGCCGGCATGGCATGGCACAATTGTGCGTGTTGTGCGGCCCACGGGCCAACACAACCCATCACAGGCCGATACAGTAGGGCTCGTAGCAGGCCACGCTCGGCCCATCCGAAAACTAGCCATTAGGTTAGGGAGCCCCCCAACAGCTAGTTTTAGCTTTTGGGGGGGGTTTACATAAATACCCTCCTAATAGCTATAAAAAACTATGTAGTGGGTATTTATGTATTTTGCTTATGGAGGGGAGAAAATGACACAAATGCCTCCTAACAGCTATATAACAACTAGTTTAGGGGGATTTTTGGGTAAAGTTATAAATAACTTTACAATGATCAAAACACCCTTCCCAACAGCTAAAAAACAACTAGTTTTTAAGGTATTTTAGGCAATTGAATTATTTTTAATTCCTATAAATAGCCCTATCCTCTACCATTCTCATCACACCAATTCAATATTCAACAATTCTCTTAACCTCTTCTCTCTCTCTCATACATTCTCTGCAATCTAAGTAAACTTTGATAGTCTGATTCTCCAATTCTCAACTTTATTGAAGTTCCAACAAGAAGAAGGCTTGTTTCTTTGCTCAACTAGATCAAGTATCTCAAATTAACAAATTGGGAGGCTTGGACGTTGAAAGGCTTTAATCGTTGAAATTAAGTTGGGATTCTGAACCAACAGTCCGGGTAAGTCCAATTAAATTAATTTTATTTTTTTAGAATAAAAAAAAATGGCCGGCTCTTCCCAAAACCAATTCCCCAAGTTTAGTAGCATAGTTTGGAAAATATTTAAAGTAGAGGATGTTGAGGGAAAGGAAAAAAGAGCAGTTTGCCAAAAATGTAGAAAAGACTTTAGCTATTGTAGCAAGGGTGGTATTGGTCATTTGAGAACATTTCTCCCCTTTATTGCTTAGCTACAATATTAGATCCTAGGATTAGGAAAGATGGTTTAGATATTTTACTTGAAACATATTGTGAATATATGAATATTGAAAATGGAAATAAAAAAGAAGAAATTAATAATTTATTATTTGAAATGTACAATTCACATGAATCTGAAGCAGTAGGAAATAATCCTACAACTTGTACAACATCTTCTACTTCTTATCTTGAGCTCAATATTAGTAAAGAAAAACTTTTTTATTTAATAAGTAGAATGTAAAAATTTGCTACTTTTACAACAAGTTCATCTATTGAACTTAATTTTTATTTACAAGCAAAATTTTATAGTTTAGGTGAGGAAACAAATAATTTTGATATTTTAGCTTGGTGGAGTGAACATTCAAAAAATTATCCAATTCTCGCCGCTATGGTACGTGATCTACTAACCCCTCTGATGTTTACAGTTTCATTGGAGTCATGTTTTAGTGCATGTACCAGGATGTTGGACGACAAGAGAAATTGCATGAACGATGAAAGTATAGAGATATGCATCTGCTTTAAGGATTGGCTAGATGTAGAAGATAGATTACAAGACAAAGGAGGGCATGATACTACACCAGATATTTCACCTGAAGCAGATGATGAAAGTCATGATTCATGAAGTTGACTAGTATATTTTTTTTTCAAATTATTGTAAATTTTGTTTTAAATTTATTTAATTTATTTATTCTTTTTTTAACAATGTAATTTTGTATTTTCAATTTATAACTATATTGTATTTTTTATATTTTATTAATTTATTCCATTTTTATATTTCATTCATTCAAGTATCCAACCATTCTATGCTTTGTAATTTGTATCATTCAAATTTAAATGAAATAAAATTCTTATTTTTCTTCCAATTTGTCATTTCCATCATTCTTGATTCTTATTTGGTTAAGTTTTTTTTTTTTTATGTGTTAGATTTCTCATTTCTTAACTTTTCAAATAGTTTTCAAAGCTTAGTTAAATATTTTAGTTTTACACTTTTACTTAGAAAAGAAGTCAAAAATTTAAAAAAAAAAAAAAAAATCAGTCTAGCTCGGTATGACCAAAGCTCATGGCCCAGCACCAGCCCGCATGAGCCTGGGCCATGACCCGTGGGCCGACCTCTAAAATTTTCAYTGGGGAGGGCGGCACAGCCCGCACTTTGCACGGACTGCCCGCGGGCCACGACCCATTTTATACCTCTAGTAACATTTAATGGGTTTGAGTTTTAAAAGAGACTCACTTGTAATTTTTCAAATATTTTGACTAGAAGAGTGCCAACCAACATTTCTTATTATTTTATTCACTGTCTAACAAAACCAAATGGCCTTTCCATCATAGTGTGAAGGTGAAAATAGTCATTTTTAATATTTAGGTCTAAACTAGCCTTTTTGCAAGTTAAAGGGTTGTCAGAATAAAAAATATGTTAAATATGTAATATATAACTTTGCGGTTATGCTTACGATTCAGTCGTTAGCTAGTTATTAGTCAAAACATAAATGAATAAAAGATAAATTTGCCCAGAAAAAAAAAGAATAAAAAGATAAATTCCCCTTCACTTTTTACATTTTTCTTAAATTTACATTGACCGTTCAAAACCTCTAGATAGAGGTAACCATTATTCAGTTAAAACTAAAAAACTGAACCAAAATTTTTGATTTTTATGGTTTGGTTTTCAGAATTAAAAATCTAGTTAACCGAAAAAACCAAATTAACCAAACTTCATTATATAATATGTAATATATAGTATACAATATGCTACATATTTATATATTAATATATTATATAGTATATTATAATTAAATTCRGTTTTAACCGAAATAATTGAAAAGTGAACAAAAAATTTCAGTTTTTTTATAATTTGGTGTTGGTGTTGGTTTTTATTTTTTATTTTGGTTTATTTGGTTTGGTTTTTATTTTTTATTTTGGTTTATTTGGTTTGGTTTTTGTT